GTGTGTGTGTGTGTGTGTGTGTCTCTCTCTCTCTCTCTCTGCCCATCCCCCAGTCACGCTCTGTCTCTCTAAAATGAATAAACCTTAACATTTTTTTAAAATAAAAAAAATAAAATGCAACCATGTTCCTATTTTTACATAAACAGGGTCTCATTCTGCACACTGTTCAGTAACGTTTATCCGATTCCTAAACTTTATTGGTTCCTCGTGCCCTTGGTGTCTCAGTAATTTTCACAGCACTCCCTGGGCCAAGAGAGATCCACTTACTAAGTACCTAAATCCAAACAACTCACTAAACATCTATATCCTACCGACTCAATAGCCATTTGAAACAATACACATAAATTAAGAAAAAGATTCCAATATTTTAGAAAGAAAAATATTTTTATTTCCTAGATGACCACAATTACTTACGACACCTGTTGGGCACGGTACTACTTGGCAGATCTTGGAACCAGATTGGTCAGCACCACCCCGATTTCTTGCTCTAGACTGATTTTTTCCCCCTGTATCTATTAGCAGCTGCTGAAAACCCAGCTTCCCAAAGATATGACGTCACTGAAAGGGATCTGGCGCCATCTAACGCTGAAAGGCAGCTACCAGGAACTCCAAATTCCCAAGACATCAGACACATGGAGCTGAGCTCTGGCGCTTCTCCTGAAAATTTAAAACCCCTCACTGGGCCCCTGAGAGTTCGCCGAGGTGGCTCAGCACAGTTTGGGGAACAGGGAACTCAGCCTAACGGGAAGATCTTTTCTCTTCTAGGAATACACGCCCGGAGTTACTCCCTAAGATTCCTATCAGTAAGTATCTAGGCAATTTATAATTTCAAACAATATCCTTGTCAAACAACGTTGTGATAAAAATCCTCCCACACATATCTTTGTGAACTTGGCAATTATTTCATTCTCTCATTCATTTAACGGGCTCTAATTACACACCAGGATTATGTGCTGGGCACGATTTGAGAGGCTGACGTTACAGAGGTGAATACAAGGTCCCTCACAAAATTTATATCCTCCTGAGGGAGCGAGGAACAGAAAAACTAATCCTTTCAGGTTGTGACAGGCTATGAGGTAAAATAAGGTCAAGACCAAGGGTTAGAGGGGTGCCTGGCTGGCTCAGTCGGTGGAGCACATAACTCTTGATCTCGGGGTTGTAAATTCGGGCCCCACATTGGGTGTCGAGATTATTTAAAAATAAAAAAAAATGAGAAAGCCAAGAGCCAGGGGTTAGAGAACGCACAGGTCATGAAAGCACCCCGTAACAATAGGCTATCTGAGCGGAGAACACACGGACAGAAACGCAGAAGCCTGGGGAGCTGCGGGCAATGCCCTAAGCAGCAGGAGCGGTGAATAATAAAGTCCCCGAGGCAGGAATGAACTCATACTGTTGGAAGAATGGGCACATGGGTGTGGTTAAAGAACGAAAGAGGAGTCTGGTGAGGAGCTGGAGAGGCAGGCAGGGGGCAGGTAATGCAGGACCCCGCGGGTCAGAGTAAGCCGCTCAGACCCTTCGGAGAGGACTGGGCGCAGGAAGAGCCCGGGGAAAAAAGAGCACTCTAGCCGCTCTGCGCACCGCAGAGGGAACAGCTAGCAGCCGGGGCTACTGCCCGGAAAGACGAGGGCGGCGCGGACCCTGCCGGTCCAGATGGAGATGGTCACAAATGGCTGGATTCCAGGCCTATTTTGGAAGGCAGAGCCGACAGACTGGCAGATGGACCAAGTGGAAGTTGTGAGAAGGCGAGGAATCAAAGACGGCTTTTGGGTTTCTGGCCCGAGGAAGTGGGTGAATGGTAGAAGCGCTTGGCGAACCGGGCAAGACCCGGGGAGGGGCACGCTCAAGAGGAGAAATTAAAGAGGTTTTCATTTCAGGATACGTTTTTAGAAGCGGTAGGGCCGGAGCAAGGTCTGTGCATATTAAACAACATCAACTTGTCAGACGGTCCTCCAAAAAGGCGACACCAGTTTATTAGCCTCCTACCAACAGCGGCTAAGCGTGCTCACTTCCCAGGATTTGGGCCAGCAGAGAACAAGCAGATAAAGAAAAAACACTTCACTTAAATTTGCATGTTTTTATTAGTAAGCTGAATATTTTTTATTGGCCACTTGCACTACTTCTGTGAACTGTCTGTATCCTTTTTCTGCTTGCCTAACAGGTGTGTGCTTTCCTTACTGGTTTATAAACGTTCCTTGTGTATTAAGAAATCTGACCTGGTCTATCACCGTGCAAATACTGTTTCCCAATCTGCTTTTCAGCTGTCCCCGGTGCCTCCGATAAAGAGAAGCACCTCTTATTTTCAAGTAGTGAAACGTGCCCGGCTCTTCCCTGTACATAAAATGCTTAGCTCAGTGCCTATCATGTGCCCCGCCTATAATTCATTCATTCCTATTGAGGGGTTCTGTCCCCGGAATCGGCCCCCACAAGGCTTCTGTATGTCTCTAGGGCTTCCTAGTTTATCTTTCTAGACTTAAACCTTAACTCCACCTGGAATTTCTTTGGAACGGTGCGTTTACGAGGTCCTGACTCCTGACACAACTTTCAATTCACGTGGCTGAGCCCTGTCCTCCAGCAAAACGATCTCCATCCACAAACACAGCCATTCAACTCCATTCTCTCCAGCCCACTGGCTCCCTCCAGTTCCCTCCACAAAGGAGTCCAAGTCACCAACAGTTCTCCCCCAGAACTCCCCTCCTCCCTGATCTCTCCTGCTTCCCTTCTTAGCCCTCCTCTTCCTCGGCAATGGGTTCTTCACAGGGCAACCGAAGTAGGAGTAGTCCGTTTTTTTTTTTTTTTAACGTAAACTTGATGTCCCTCTCCTACTTCTAATTCTCCAATGGCTTCCTATGAAAAATAGAATTAAACCCCAGGATTCCTTACCATGATTTCCAACATCTCACCTGGCTTGCCCGGTCTCATGCTTCTCCAGCCCATTTCCACAACTGTCCTCACTCAGCTGAACCCCAGTCACACACACACAATTCTTTGAAGCCCCTGGGGCCACACCAAATTCATGCCTCCCTCAGGCCCTTTGCACCTGCTGTTTCCTCTGTCTGAAGAGCTCTTGTCCCCCAATTTGTGGCCTAGACTACTGGCTGCTTCTCCTCATCCAGGTAATGTCACCTCCCCAGGCAGGGCCTGTGGACCCTGACACTACCCCATCTACAGGAACTTCACACCTCGTGGCAGCACGCACCGCTTCACTCCATTCAAAGTACTCGCCATTAACGGAATCCCCTCGTTCATTCATTTATGTGTTTAGTGTCTGCTCTGCGTCTATCCCACGACAGGCGTTCAATTCATACTTGCAGAAGGGGAGAGGAGAAAAAGATCTGGGGTCCGGCTTCGTATCCAAACTTGAAAA